CCTGGGGCAAGCCCGGGCGCGCTCCATGGCCCCGGGGTGGCAAGTGGTGAGTGCCCAGGGGAACGTAAAAAAAATATTTTGTTATTCGCCCAAGTCCCTACCAAAAAGCCGCTGGTCGTGGAAGCCTTACCTTAGTTATTAAAAAATTCCTATCGGTTCTCTCTTTAGAAAGTCTGGTGGAAAAATAGCATCCGCCGAGCTCCTACCAATGGCGCCTGTGGAAGCTTATATTAGTTAATATTAATACTATTAATATCGTATATAACATCCAGGAGTCTTACAAAATACTGGTCTGTGAAAGTCTACATTAATAATAATAAATTTCTCTATTTGAAAAGTGTGCAGAGCTCTTAGAAAATAAAGTGGTTACTGTGCCCGATTTGCAGTACATACGACAGGTTTTGCGCAATAATCAAAGTATCTGCGCAGCTCGCCTGGCTGTTTGCAGCCAAATCGATGTGTTTCATTCTCGGCAGAAATGTTTACCTTACGTCCAATCGCGAGGGCGAGAGGCGGTCTGATCGTGCGACAGATCCAGTCAGTGTCGCAGGTCAGCAGGTATTGACCAATCAGGGCGCGAGTTAATTGCGTCACGCTTTTGAATATATTTGTAATTTTGGCATAGTTAGGTCGAGTCAGAAAGGTAGGCGCGGTCGGTAAGATGGGACGAAACTGTATTAGACAGGCCGAGTGTAGCCATGCGAAAAGGCAGGAAAACGCAGCAAGAAAGGAACCGGACGGACTTATTGACAGACGGACGGACAGACACGCTGCAAGGTTAGGGGGCGGGAAACTAGCGCTCTGGGCGCCCGCTCCGCGGACGCTAGGGCATAATTGGTTGGTGTAGTGCGGGCTGACCACCTCCGCTGCGCTGCGGTGTGCTTAGCGTTTCTACGTACAGCAAAGTAACATATAGTACATGTATACTGTGTTCTACTTATATTACGCTCCAAAACAACACCGCACACAGTATCCTTAGTGCTCACATGTTATGGTAGATATGACCAGGGTTTAACATGATCTGCAAGATGAGCACCATCTTACCTGGGAAGGTTCTGTCTGTAATCTCACTTTAGCGCATAGCTTCCAAAATAACACGAATTGGAGGCGCGCGTGGTTGCAAAGCTAATATATGCTGTACGGAAGACGGGTCAGTATCAATGATGCTACGAAGTATGCGTAGATCGGTGAGGAATCCCAGTTTAGCTGGAGTAAATACGCCTTCTCACACATATTACCCATCTGCACGTCATCGCCGTGAGGCAGTCGACACATATCATCGATTGCGACGGTCGAATAGAGAAATGTTAATCAGCTCCTCGCGCGAAGTATCTTTAAGATAGGTAGTATTTGCCGATGGTCGCCACAATCTCATATTATGCTTTGAAATTATTCTGCTGAGCTGTTTGTGATGTTACTGAAGGGTATTTCCACTATCTTCCGCATGCATTGATCTTACTTGCATAGCTGACGTACTTTCTGACTTATTTGCATAGCTACTGGAAAACAGAGTCATTTAGCTACTACTACTACGAGTTCGAATGGCAGTGAAAATGAAACGGATATTCTTGAAAATGTGACTGAGTCATTTGAATTAGAAGTGAACCAAGACGATCAAACTGAAATGGATCATATTCTTAATTCGATAGGAGCCGATTCTTTAGAAACTAAAATCCCGATTGGAAATATGCACCGTAGAACTCATACTATTGATGAGTACAAAACGAAACAACTAATGCAATGTTGCTTTCCTACTTTATTTCCAGACGGTTTGGGTGGTTATCACCCTCTGGAATTCGAAACTAGACATCACGAGTACAATCTAGCCGAATATTGTGCTCACTTGATGAAGTGGCACGACCGGCGCTATGTTATCCACGGCAATTTTAAATTCTTCTGCATGAATCTAATTCAACGCCGTCAAATTGACGGTTTAGTTCGACGAATTCGCTATTCTGAAACACGTGCCGAGGCAATGGAATTAGCCGGTTGTGGAAGAACACAAGGAGAAAGCCGCTCCAGTAACGAAAAGGAAGAACTTAGTGCCGCTATGAACGTTTTGAATTCCTTAAAACCTTACTTTAAAGTTGTGAGAGGTAGTGGACTATACTGGTCGAACGTACAAGAAGACCTAATGTCAATGATAGGAAATCGAGTATTGCCAACGAAATGACCTACTTTCTTTTTAACACTGAGCGCAGCGGATACGATTTGGCCAGATTTCGCTCGAGCATGCAATCCTGCATTGACACTGGAAGAGTGCAGACAGCTCTCGTTTAATGAACGAAGGAGGTATCTAAATGAGAACCCAGACATTAGTGCCCGTCATTTTAACAGAAGATTTCAAGCATTCTTCGATAACATTTTATGCGGGAGGTCTAAACCTTTAGGCGAAATTGTAGATCACTTCTGGCGTGTAGAATTTCAGCAACGAGGCTCTCCTCACATACATTGCTTGCTGTGGGTGAAAGATGCACCTGACGTTTTAAAACTATCAGAGACGGATGATGGACGGGCCGAACTAGATGATTTTGTAGATAAACACATATCAGTCCTAACGAAGACGCTCTCGGAGCTTAGTTCGTGCCCATGCTCTGCTTGTACTGCCAGTGAAAGTGACATTCTGGCCTTAAGACCACCACATTATGGTAACAAAGAGTGGAATTGTGATTTGGCCAGACTTGTTCAGCGTGTGCAGCAGCATGAATGCCACGCAGGTTCTACTTGTAGGAAGAAAGGCAACGAATGTCGTTTTGGATTCCCCAAGAGTTTACAACCTAGAACTGTAATTGAGTCGAAAACGAGTTCAGATGGCACACCTTCCTTGAAAATCCACTTACAACGTGAGGTGTCCACTATTAACAATTATTCACCGCATCTCCTTTCGTGTTGGCGTGCTAATATGGACCTGCAACTAATTGGAAACTCCTACCGAGCTGCTGAATACGCAGGAGCGTATGTAAGCAAAGCAGAGCCAGATACACTTCGATTCAGGCGAGTGATTGCAAAAGCTATACAACGGCGTGACTCAAATCTTCCCTATCATTCGATTCTGAAGCGATTAGCAAATGCGACTCTCGCGGTTCGCGAGGTTGGTGCACCGGAAGCTATATACATTCTCCTTCGCAATCTACCAATGCATAGTAAATCCCGCTCAATCACCAAAGTCAAGGTGATGCGTCACAGTACCCGTTACTATCGCGTTGAGCCGCAAAACCTAGACGACCTTGTTGCCTTAGCAAGTACACCAGAGATCGAGACTATTCGAATTGAGCCTATCGAGAAAGCGTACATGAATCGCCCGGACAATGATCATTTTAACGCTATGACTTTAGCAACATTTGTAGAGACTTTCGAAACGATTGAGTCGATACGTAAAGTAGCATCCTCCGATGATCTGTACGAGTGTATGAACGGTGAAGGGTGGATCAAGAAACGCAAGAAAGCCACGGTTGTGCAAAAGACACCCTGGATACGACCCGATTCTCGAACCCCACTTTCTGTTTCTACGAAGTATTTTTGTATGTTCCATGGCGGACGTTAGAGCTTCCCACAACCGATGATGAAGCAATAGCACGCTTTTTTCAAGCTCAAAATTCGCTGCTGGATGCAGAGTTGAAACACGAATCAAATGCCAAGTTAGCTCGGCAGTATCAATTAGATTTAATAAAATCCGCTCGTAGCGAATCAAGTATAACTGCCCTGCCTCCGTCTGAGTATGTGTTTGTATCGAATACTGATGGAGAAATGCTAGAACCAGAGCCGATGGGTGCGGTAGAAACCTCAGTAAACCAAAATAAACCGATGGAGTGGAAAGCCAAACACACCTACACGTCTGCCATCATTGATAAAGCTCGTGACTTTTTGAATGGATCACTAAAGCCATGGGTGAAGGAGAAAAAAAAAATCTCGTTCACTAGGAACCAGTTTTTGTCAAACTGGAAATTTGAAATCGCACTATCAATACCCTACTTCGGATAACAAAAATCTAGTTAATACAGAAAAAATGGCTGAATCGCAGTGGATTCCGTTTGCAATTGCAATGGAACAATCGAGAAGACGGTTTACATGTATGCTGGATAAATCTAAGTGTAAGCCTCTCCAAATGATTATAAACGGTGAAGGTGGCTCTGGGAAAAGCTGGCTAATTCGCCATATAGTGAAGGACATGCACAACGTATTTGGTGAACATAAAGCTACGAGACGGAAATCAAAACGGGTACTACTCCTAGCTCATCAAGGAACCGCTGCATTTAACATAAAAGGAATGACACTGTGCTCAGCTTTCTCATTTTCATCTTTTTCAAAGTCCTCATTCTCAATTCCCTACAAATCTCTAACGGACTCGAAAACGGGCCCAACAAAGCTGAAACGATTGCAGGAAGAATATAAAGACGTACATCTAGTTATTATTGATGAGTTTAGCATGATATCATGCGGCATGTTATACTGGATTGATAAAAGAATGAGAGAAATATGGCCAAGCAACTCAAACGAGCTTTTTGGTGGAAGAGATGTGTACTTTACTGGAGATTCTGCTCAATTAGACCCCGTTGTCCCAACTTCACTATCAACACCCCTTCAAAAGATTTCAAACCAGGTTCAGCGACGTGGGAAATAAATATGGGATAGTATTGAAACGGTGTGTATGCTAACTAGTCAAAATAGAGGAGCTTTAGATCCTGACTGGTTTAGCGCTCTTCGTCGTCTACGTAAAAAATCGCCAACCCAGGATGACATTGATCTCTTCAACTCCCGTTCAGTGCAATTTGTTGGAAAACCTATTTGGATGGCTAATGCCAAACATATTGCATACAAAAATATAGATGTTAATGACGCCAACGATCACAGTATAGTATCATCTCATGTACCGATTGTGCATTTAACTTCGCAGCATTTCGTTCAACAAAAACGTTTAACGACAAAACGAGACATACCTGCTGGAACCGTTCGCGCACTTCTAACAGACGCTCAAACAGCTAACGCTGATCATGACAGAGTGGTGCCTAACAGGTTAAAACTGTGTGTTGGTGCACCTATAACACTTACCTACAACATTGCCCAAGCTGCAGGTCTGTGCAATGGTACAAATGCTATCGTTTATGACTTTATTTTTGTGTCGGGAAGCGATCTACCCATCGTGCTCGTTCAAGTCACGGACCCGTATATCGGTCCTTCCCTACTAGATGAAGTACCAAATATCGTTCCAATACCACCAAAAGACGTTTCTTGGGGAAAGGCATCCAGTGATCTTCGCGTTGTTCGAAGGGGAATTCCGCTTCGATTGGCTTATGCTATGACAGTGCATAAGGTACAAGGGCTTACATGCTCGTGTGTGGTTTTTCACTCTAATGCAATTCCAAACATTTCGTTTGCATACGTAGCCCTTTCACGTATAACACATCGAAATTTAATAGTTATTACACAGCCACTGACACTAAAACGACTCACAGCTACTCCCGAGCAATTAGCAATTTTCCGAAGTGAGGAGCAGCGTGTTTTAAAAGCTGTCGCCCAAACGACGCTAGCTGCTTCGTCGGTGGTAGACAGAATGAAAGCGGTGGCGCAAGCCCACAACAGCACCATCACACCAAGATGATAGGAAGGTGAAAACTACGAAAAATGGCTTTCGAGGCGCCAAAACAGCTCGTAGCGCAACGCAATAGAAAAAGACAACTTTGTCGCCCCGAGAACTACAAGAGGTGAGAAAGCTTGTGATTCTGGACAGCAACGAGGCTTTTTAACATGCTTTGTTTTAGGGACTCCGATAAAGTAATGTAATATTGCTGCAGTAATGATGGCTGCGCATACCTGGGTGATAGCAAGATTCTAGTGCTGTACTTCGAAGGACTTAAGTAAAACTAAGCTCTTCGGGTTGATCGTGACTGCTGGCAAACAAGGGCTACGACACGAACAGGACATGGAAATTGAGTGAAGATTCAAATAAAACTATGAAGTCGTTAGTCTAACTAAGTGGCGTCAATGTAACGTCACCAAACAAAAAAAGTTTAAACAATGTAACCAGTGCATCCACAAGCGTTCATTCGCACTGTATCAACTACTGGAGTCTGCGTATTAACGGGGCTATGACTCGTTGTATTTGCAGTATCGGCAAGAATACATAATATCGCTGGGCAATTAATGAAAATGTGATTTTCAACTCGAAATAGAGTTTTACTACATGTATGTAAGAGCTCTGCTTGGTTTGCTCTTTCCTGCAAAAAAAAATGTGCAAGTTTGCCTGTATGAAGTGCAAGCTTACGTCAATTTTAGATAAACCGTCTGTAGAACAATATTCACCTTGAATCAAAATAATTTTTATTCCTATGAATTATTGTGTTCGTAGTACTTTAAAAATCGTAAGAGCATATCACAGCACGCGAAGAACACGTAGTAAGCTCCCATGCCTCAAATACTGACCGTATTGCCAGCGTCAGTTTCACCACCCTGCTCTAATGCAACAAAGCCATTCCACAGTTAGTTGACGTAGCCGCTTACATGATGATCTTCAAAGAATAAGCGGCGAGTACGTACTTGTTGGAGCTGGTGGCGCAGACACAACATAGGCGCGCTGGGATGAGGTGACGTTATTCTGGACTTGAGATACCGGTAGCATTACATGCTGAACTTGAGAGACTGCAGTAGCACCACCTAAACTTCCTGGTGCAACCACCACAGAGGCCGGCATCATAGACTGTTGCTGAGCCGTGCATAACGGCAATGATGCCCCAATCTGTAGCGGAACTAGCATGTAGATCATTTGGGAAGACTGCACCAAAGGAGAATTGTGGCACAGGCAAGGCGAATGTTCACGATGCGTCGAAACCTCCCCGCCTAGGGCAGAACCTGCATTCTCGTCTTCACGGATTGATTGCCCTGATGATTTTTCCTTAACACCTTCGACAGCACGTGGTCGCTGAGCGTTGCTCACCGCAGGTACATCCAGCTCGACATGCTCCACAGCTACGTTATCACGGCTTGTGCTTGAACAGGAATCTTCAATCGAAGCCGTAGATGCAGGAGTTGATCCCTTTTTTTTGGTGCTCAAAGACGTAGAACTCTGGATCTTCCGTTTTTTGATTGCCGTAGTTTTCTTCTTTGTTTCCTTCTTAGTAGTTTTCCGGTAGCGATCACGCTGCATAGTATTCTGATGATCGCGATGTTCAGCGCAGAGCCAGTGGCGCTCTCCATTCCTCTTGAATGCCCTCTTGTTGTGACAATAACCAGGATACTTGCATTGGTCTGAACTGAGGCTTCTTTCTGGTTGTGAGCCCCTAGCGTGGACCTTCTTCGGCATTTGGCACAGCTAAGATCTTGACAGCATAACATAGCGTGAGTGCTGTCGTATCAGGACGTTCACCGCACCAGCAGTACACACTTACCTCCTCGGTAGCGACGCAACTGGCAGCAACAAGGTCCTGTCAACTGTAGCTTTTCAAAATGAAAAAAAATTGTTGTTGTGCTTCAACCTATGTATTTGCATATGATGCTTGGGGGGCGGTGCCCAAAAGTTTTTTTATAATAAATTTTTCGGTATTGGCCCCTTAGCAACCGTGGCGACCAATCGCCGTGATGATGCTGCCATACTAGTAATAACGTATAATATCGATTAGAGTTCCCCTAGCGAATAGAGTACCCTTTGAATAGAGTGCGGTTCCGCAGCGCACTCTAAAACAGTAGAGTGCGATCAATTAGAGTGCGCTCACTGAGCCACCTGTCACCACCATTCGTTTCCTACACCACACATGTATTGGGCCTCAACTGCTTTGTTTCCTCAGTCTCCTTTTTGTCATGCCAGCACAACGCAAGTCCGTCGAGATCAGCCTCAAGCAGCAGGCTATCGACTGGATCGAGTCCAAAGGAGGTGGAATTCCTTCTCGGGCGGAGCCACACTTTCGCCAGCTCGGTTGGCGAGTGTCGGCGTCTGCCTACCGGAAGTGGTGGCGCGATCGCGACCAAATTCGTGCGGAGTCTGTTGCTCGCTTTCGGCTTTTTGGCGGGGGTCGAAAGCCCTTCTAGGGGTTGTCGAAGACGAGTTGGTGGACTTGCTGTACGAGAAGCGTCTCCGGAAAGAAAAAGTGACGCGGGAGTGGATAGCGGCGACTGCGATTGCGCTCTTTCAGGCAAGTCGCTCGGAAGAGCAGCACGAAGACGATCCAATACGTTTCGTGGCGTCTGATCCGTGGGTGCAAGGGTTCATGAAGCGCAACCGTCTAAGCTTCGAAAGCGTACCAACCTCACAACACTCGACGATGACGAGTTGGTGGAGAGAGCGGTTTCCTACATGAACTATTTGGGCGACCACAAGCCATCCATGAACCGTGACCGGACCATTCTAATGGACGAGACCGCTGTCTATTTTAAGGATGCTCGAGCTCACACGGTTGATAAAGTTGGAGCACGTCACGTCGTCATTCGTTCAACTGGGTTCTCGTTTATGAGAATTACTGCGGCTCTTGCAGTAACAGCGTCAGGGAAGAAGCTGCCGCCGTGTCTTATCTGGAAGCGAAAGACGCGGGGTCCAATTGAGCGTGTCGGCGGGTGCTACGTTGCTTATCAAGAGAGAGCGTGGGTGGACCAGAACCTGCTCCTCAACTGGCTGGATTGGTACTTTCCTGAAGTAGCCAAAACGACTGGACAGTATGTCGTCTGGGACTCGATGCGGGCGCATATCGCCAAGAAGGTCAAGAAGCGATGCCAGGAGAAGGACGTCGGCATGGTCGTGATTCCGGGAGGCTTGACGCCCTACCTCCAGGCGGGTGATGTCGGAATCTACAAGTCCTTTAAGGACAACCTGTGCAAGATCATCAATGAGTGGAATTACTCGGACCAGGTTCGCTACACAAGAGGAGGGAACCCTCGCCCGCCTGCGGTTAAATTGGTCGCAGCATGGGTAATGAAAGCGTGACGAAAGACGCCAGACTCTGTCGTTGCGAAAAGCGTTTCGATCTGTGGCTTTAGCGACGATCCTACTTCGTGGCATGTTGCTCGCCACGATGTGTACGGAACCAAGTTCCGCGTGGCTTGGGAACTTCGTAGTCACGACAGTGCTGACGTCGATAGCGGAAGAGTTGACGACTGTGAAAGTTTCGAGCACATCATGGAGACGCTGGACGACTTTGTCATTGAGGATTAAGCAGCAGCAAAAAATATGTTAGTCGGGCTTGCAGCTAGGTTAATGACAATACACAAGGAGACTTACCATTTCAGCACGGAGAATTAACGTATTCGATGGGAATCGAACCCGCGACAACCCTGCTCCCACTTGGGGCCCTCAATAAACCCTGGTGTCTTAACCACCTGAGCTGTCAGTGCTGGTGATATGTCGGAATAGAGTGCGCATAAAATAGAGTGCGCAATTTCGATTTTACCGAACTCTAAAATAATAGAGTGCCGCACTCTAATTCATATTATACGTTAATACATGTACTGGGAGATAGTTTGAGTCAACTGGGTCAACGTTCATGCAACATGGATATGTGGTCACATCATAAGGCTTTGTAAAATCAAAGCTTCCAAATCAGGTGATTTGTATAGAATTTTCGTGCAAAAATCAACAAAGAACTCCCTAAATACAAAACGCCAGGCTTGCAAACTGTCAGATAAAAACAAAAATGCAATCATGAATTCATCGTGCATTTTGCAGTAGGGAATGATTGCGACGAAATTCATTTATAGATTCTGTTCATGTCGGCATCAACAGTTTTCACAATCGCAAAGCATTAAATTCTGTTTTTATTTGTGTTTTTGTGCGGTTCATGCATCGAAAGGTCACCCCGTGAGCATAGGTGAAATGTACATATTTTGTGGATTCGTCTTAGCTGTGAATTCGCCAGCACCTTATAAATGCTTGGTGGTTGGTGGTATGACTGTGCTTGGACATTCTCCATTCACTCGAAAGCTTGTAATCAGCTTAAACATTCAATGGGAACGTCGATCTATAAACCCTAGTGTGTGAATAAGTGCAACAACAGCATCGGACTTCCAAAACATCTTAAAATATCTAATCCGCACGACCCCCCCCTTCCTAGTTCTATCTCCCGGACTCGTTGTTGCACAACGAGTATAGTTTGTACATCAAGTAGAGAAGGAAATTCAATTTAAACGAGTTGAACTCTCTGTTAAAGATTTTAAATGACGAT